AACTAAATGGTTTTTAGTATATTCTCAGAGTTTGTGCGACCACCATGCAATCGACTTAGGACATCCTTATCATCCCCCAAAGATGCTATGCACCTTTTAGATATCAACCCCTAGACTCCCCACCCCTCTTATCCTGAGACAATTAAGGTTTGTATTTTCAGGGCATGGTGCATGTGTTTGTATATTTGCATGTATGCATGTGTACATAATCAGCAACTATGAAATTGTCAGGGGAAGAAGCACTATCTGGGAAATCATGACCACGCAGGATCCAACGCAGAGGGTGAAGTTTCCAAATGAAATGATAACAGAAGAGCTTGATAAAACTCCCTACTGCTAGGGGTCAGAGTACTGGCAGGGAAGATGAAGCCCTTACAAACAATTAGGAAAAGCAAACAAAAGTCGTGATTAAGAACTTAGGTTTTTGGAGTAGAGTGTTCGAGTCCCAGCTTTCTAACTTATTAGCTATGTAACTTTCAGTAATTTACGTCTCTCTTTACTTGTCTGTATGATGCCTACTCTACTCCAGAGGACATGGAGCTCACAGGCACACATGGTTGCTACCTAAAATGAGACCTACAATAACCCTGGTGGGCATGGATTGCAGTGTCTGGTCAAGGAGTCTCTGCAGCGCAGAGTGAGAGAAGGTGTCTTCAAATATACCTTTTCTCTGGGGGTAGTGTCCTTGGGTGAAGCTTACTGGATCCCTTCAAGGCTCTAGAGATTGGATTTTCTGGATCTGACATCCAATCCCTCCTTTTGGAGATAAGATTAGGTGGGAAAAGACCTTCTGGAGTGAAAGGCCACCATGGGGGCTTATGATATTGTGATACACTAAGAAAGAGATATTTGGTCTTTGTCTTGGTTGATTTTGCATTGCAATAAAAGGATACCTGAGGCTGGATAGTTTCTAAAGAAAAGGGTTGAATATCCCAGCTTTCCCACTCTTTCACTCTTGCCATTTCTTCATTTTATTTTATTTTTTAAATTTTTTTAGTGGTAGAGTCTCACTATGTTGGCCACCTTGGCTTTGAACTCCTGGGCTCAAGCAATCCTCCCGCTTCAACCTCCCAGTGCACACTACCACATCTGGCTGTACGCTTCCCATTTCAAAAAACAAGCCCTACCCGCCTTTTCCCAACTGACACTCATTATTCCTCTTTCATACTTGACAAACTTTCACTGAAAAGTAGAAAGGAACCAGAGAGTATGACATTTTATTAAGTGCCTTAACACTTACTGAAAGGCTGTTCTAACTAGTAACTAAGAATACGAGCTTTGGCTGGGCCCAGTGGCTCATGCATATAATCCAGCATTTTGGGAGGCTGAGGCGGAAGGTCAGCTTGAGCCCAACTTCAAAACCAGCTTGGGCAACATAGTGAGACCCTGTTTCTAGCAAAAAAATTAAACTTAAAATTAAAAGATTAAGAAAAAGAACATGGGCTTTGGAGTCAGATGTATCAGGATTTGAATTCCAGCTCTATGCATTCCCAGATGCAGGCTTTGGTAAATAAATCTCAGTTTCCTCATCTATAAAATGGGGATAGTAATACCAGCTTGAAGGTTTTCTGAACATTAAACTAGATATCTTAAAGAGACTAACAAGGAAGTTGATAAATGGTAGCTAATATTTCTACTCTGTTCTTATTTCTTTCCTGGTGCCAAGTGTTTTACATACTTATCAGCCCAATAAGTGGGCATAATTATTCTCATTTTATAGGTGAAGGAATTGAAAGTAAAAAATTTGGCTGGGTGTAGTGGCTCATGCCTGTAATCCTAGCACTTTGGGAGGCTGAGGCAGGTGGATCACCTGAGGTCAGGAGTTTGAGACAAGCCTGGCCAACATGGCAAAACCTCGTTTCTACAAAGAAAAAAAAAAATTAGCTGGGCATGGTGGCATGTGCCCATAGTCCCAGCTACTCGGGAGGCTGAGGCAGGAGAATCACTTGAACCCGGAAGGTGAGATCATGCCACTGCCCTCCAGCCTGGGTGACAGACTCCATCTGAAAAAAAAAAAAAGAATTCATGAGGTGAAATAGATATTATATTAGTTATACTGTAGATAAGGAAGTGGAAGCATGAAGTATTTAAATAACTCATTCATGTCTCAAAGTGAAGCAATTATGGGGCAGGGATCCAAAGCCATGTCTATTTGATCTGGAATGTGTTAACTTCCTGATATTTCACAATTTGCTATTACTTGTCATTCCTGACAGGTTGTGATAGTGATGGTCATATTTATCAGCTACATTAATTTTTAAGAATCAACTTTGGTCACAGACCTGAGATATCTTCATGACTATTGTAAGTAAGGATGAGAGTCCCAGATGTTAGAGAAGGGGATAGTCCTCTATGTTGCATTTTTTCCATCTAGCTCTATGCCCTTAGAAACAATGGGTGGTCCTTTGTTTTCTTCTATAACCCAAACAATCTATGATTATCTTTCTGCAGTCGTCCTAGTCAATTAGTATTATCTGAAGTTACATTATTTTAAATAGCACTGTCAGGAGCTCTGTATAACAGTGTTTTTTACTGTTTTCTTTAAATTTACAATCTATTGATGAACCAACATAAAGATATCAAAAGATAAAGATATCATGAGGCAGGCAGCCCAGCCCCTAGCCTTTAGACCTTCCTTGGACCCACCCTCTTCAGCCCAGGAATCTGCCTCCCACTGCCATTCATGGCACCCAGTCTCAGCCTCAACTTTGCTCCAAGAATGGAGCAGGCGCCAACAGCAGGGAGAAGCCAGGCAGCAGGAGCAGGCACATCTGAGCCTGTGGGGGCATGCGGGGCCTTCTGGGGCCCCAAGAGTGCAGGGATGTCTGGGTCTGCAGCCGTGGTTTCGGTGGCTGCAGCTGCCCCCAGGAGGGCAGGTCTCCTATTCCTGGCCTTCCAAGAGCACAGAGAGGCTCAGATCTGCAGCCACAACTTGGGCAGGGCTCCTGCCTACTCTGTGGAGCAGGAGGCCCAGGTCTGCAGCTCTGCTGCAGAGGCACCTGGGGAACTCCCATCCCAACTCGGAAGGGGTGGGTCTGTTGCTTGTCCCTGGATCCCACCAGAGGGTGCAGCCCTGGCCATGCCTCTCTGCTGCAGCAGCAGGCCGTCTAGAGCAGCCACTGCCATCACTAGTGTAGTGAATTTTCATTGATTTTATTTTGTCTTGGCATCCATTTCGAATATGTTTAACTTTCTCACATGAGAAGCCGGGCAATCACCTTTGACCCAGTTTCCAGTTCTCTGCTTCCTCCCAGTTCTCTGCTTCCTCCCAGTTCTTCAGTGTGATCCATCCAGGTAGCTGCCTAATGCAACTGCCTCCTGGTGACCATCTCCCTATGGGGGTAAATGCAGCCTGCTTGACTCACCTGTTGACCTCCATAACCCACATGGACTGTGTACATGGGCTCCAGTGACTACCTCACAGTGACAGGGTGACTGCATGGAACTTGTGCCTGCTTGCTCTAAACCCACCAATTAGAACTCCCATGCGTAACTGCTTGGGTAACACCCTGGACCCCAATAGAGGCTTTAGCTCCACAGGTATCACCTTCTTTGCTCCCTTTCCACTGGCTGGCTCCCGCCAGAGAGGGTGCAGCCCTGGCCATGCCTCCCTGCTGCAGCAGCAGGCTGTCTGGAGCAGCACCTCCAAATTTACCCTCCCCCTGAAGACAAGACCAAATTAGAAAGAAACCAAAACAATAAAAATCACAACACCCAGCAGTCAGTGAACATCATCATCAGAAAAGAGGAAAGATACAAAGGAAGCAAAGTTTTTCGTTGCTGTAAACTTCAAGAAAAATTCCCTTTATGGAACTTTACTAAAGATAGAATAGAATGTGGGCTGCCCATGGTGGCTCACGCCTCTAATCACAGCATTTTGGGAGGCCGAGGTGGACGGATCACTTGATGTGAGGCATTCGAGACCAGCCTGGCCAACATGGCGACACCCGTCTCTACTAAAAATAAAAAAAATTGGCCAGGCGTGGTGGCACGTGCCCGTGGTCCCAGCTACTCAGGAGGCTGAGGTGGGAGGATCATTGGAGCGTGAGATACCCGAGAGTGCAGTGAAATGAGATCACACAACTGCACTCCAGCCTGGGCGACAGAGCCAGAACCTGCCTCAAAAAAAAAAAGGTGCCTTCAACATCATTCTACAGCAGATGCAGTAATGGAATTCAGTCTATGTTTTCTTTTTACATTGGGTAAAAGGTGAGGACATAATGAAGGATGTTTTGCTTAGGACTAACAATTATAAGAAATTTGTATGGCAGGCACTAGGCATATGCTCATAACAGCACGCCTTTCAAACAGTATCCTTGAATACAAGCTTTCCCATTAGAGATCTGATAAAAGCTAGGTAGCAAAAATTCTACTACAATGTGCTTTGATGAGTACCTACACACTAAATTGACATCCTGAGTTGCTGGAAGAGCTACATACTCTAAATCCTATCTCAGACTACGGCTTATTTGAACCCCTTGTAGGACTCTGTTCCATCCCGGAAGAGCCATCGTACACCTACCCATATGAGCGGGTGGGCTGGAGAACTCCTTTCCTTGTTTGCTGTTCTCATCCCCTTCCTGAACGCCACGTAGTAAACATCACTTATGCTTATCAGGCACGCTTAACCAGCAACATGGGATACATGAGCATGTCAGTGTCCCATGATGGGCTGCCACACTTTCAGCCAACTTGAGGAGACAAAACATTGTTCATTTTTGCATCTTTCTTAACACAGGACCGCAGCATGGTCCAGGGAATACAGAGAGACAATTCCCTCCGGTAGTTCTTACAGAAAAGCTTTCCCTGAACTATTCCATAGCCTTGGAAAACTTTCTTTCCTTCTGTGTTGGACAAACCATCAAACATCGCGGCGGAGAATGGGGCAAGGCCTCGGGTCAAGGGGCCGGGGCGGGGCGGTGAGGGGCGGGCACACGCTCCAGAGGGCGGGGCCAGGCTGGAGTCAGGTTGCAGGGGCGGACCGCAGCTGCGGGTCGGCGCGCCGTGCGCGTGCGCGCGGCAGGTCGGCGCCAGGCGGGGGCGGAGCGACAGTCGCAGGCCCACGCCGTAAACAGACAACATGGCGGCCGCGGTGGCGACTGCACCTGGGACATTGGGATCCCTGCACGCTGGCGGCGTCCGCCTGGTAGCTGCTTGCAGTGCACGGCTCTGCCGGGGGTTGAGGCTTCCCGGCTTGTTGGCGGGCCGGCGGGTGGGCCCGGCAATCTGGGCCCAGAGCTGGGTGCCTGCGGCCGGGGGTCCCGCCCCAAGAAGGGGCTACAGCTCTGAGGTGAAGACGGAGGACGAACTACGGGTGCGGCACCTGGAGGACGAGAACCGAGGTGAGGTGCGAGCGCGGGACAGGCGCGGTCGCCCACAGGACGGGCAAAAGGTGCAGCGTCCGCTCGTAGGACGTGGGGTCGAGGTTTGGCAGGCGCTCCTAGCCTGGGTCCCTCCCCTTCCTTACCTCCCCACTCACCCCAGCGTGGGCCGTTTCCTTGTGCACCTTCTTGCTTTCAATACTTAAACGGGTACTCCGGAGCAGCTTACCTGTAAAGTGACCGCATTCCTCGCGGCAAACAGAAGTGCAGCTTACGCCCTCCGCTCCAGACAAGCCAAGGTCAATGTATACCCTGGGTATTTAATCCTTACTACCAGGCTTTATTCTTGCTGTGTAATGGCTTTCCGTAAACTCAGCTGTTAGTGGTGGAGTTGTAAAAGCTGCAGTGAAACTGCGTTTTATTATTACGAAGAATTTTGAATTTGAAGCTGCTCAGCTGGAACAGTTTTTCGTCTTGTTCACTTTATCTTAGAAAGTTAGTCTTGAGGGACTATTCCACTTCATTTAAACAATTTTGAGCACTTTGTTATTTTGCTGTGCTCTGAACAGAATGTGGATGGTATTGTTCTTGCCCATGAGCTCCCTACTGTGGGAGGAGACATCATTAGTAGCAGTACAATACAGAGGATGGAAGGCTTTGAAGGAGGTTGTCTTTTCTAGGGAATACTGTTAAAGCTCAGTTCCTTTCACTGGCAGTGAAGGGAAAAGCTAAAAGGGTCGTGAAGGGTGGAACAGCAGTTTACCCGGTGTAAGCCAGAGGACCAGTCTTAATTTTGACATGCTTTTGTTGAGCATCTATAATCTGTTAAGCAGAAATAAAAAGCGCGTAAGCCATGGTTGCGGTTAGTATAGTGAAGCAGATCCTGGTTTTTGGTAGGCGGTGTGAACTTCGAAGGCATGGTAAGAGGAAAGGGCTGTAATATCTGCAGGGTTTCGTCATATGAAAGGGTGGTCCAAGGCATTCTTTAATAGGCAGTGGATTTTGCCATTTGCGAGGGTTCTTGGGCAGACTTCTCTTAACTATCTCAACATGTAAAACAGGAAAAATAATACCAACCTTATAGGTTTGCTGTGAAGACGAGATGAGATTGTTAATATAAATTGCCACTATCTAGCCTGTAGCAGATGCTCAGTAGTGTGGTGAATTACTTTACTCCTTTCTTGTTTATTATTACAGACAGAGACAAGAACATGGTCAAAGCATGGAGATGTGAACATGTATGATGTATTTGGGAAGTAACATAAGGCAAGTGTGGCATGATAAACAGAATAGTAAGAAATTCAGCTGGAAGTGTAGATTGGCACTGGAGTGAGTACAGCTTGAATGCCACCATCTTTTGGGTAAGCTTAGTCATGCTAGGACTTCACTTCCGTTAAGTGTACCAACAATATGTTAGATATAAAGGGATTGCAAATACAGCTACTAATATGCACCATATTCTATTTTTCTTTTTTTTTTTTTTGGTCTTTATAACTTGAATAAAATTGAAAATACATTTATGCAAAATGTCTGGCAAGACATTGAGTTATGATCTCAATGGACCAAAAGAGAGAATATCAGATAATAAAAGACAATAAACGAAATGTTTTTTGAATGTCAACGTTCTTTTTTTTCTTTGGCCTTCATTTCCTGATAAGATAGAACACCATGGTTTCTTAAAGTTGATCCCACCTCTTTTGAGGTTTGGCAAGAATGAAGACTCAGGCTTGGCTAACATTGCTTATGCTTTGCTTTGTTTTACTGTTAAACCAGCAATAAGCAATGCAAAGAAAAACATGAGGCCCAACAGGTGAAGGAGTTTCCTGGATGCCTTTGTTTCTCTTAGAGGTTGGTCAAAATTTGGTGCTGTCAGCAGCCCCTAAGGAATATGATTGATAACTCTCCTAGTCATAGAAACCCCAAACAGCATGCAGCACTTTAGGTGGGATGGGGTTCCATGTTTGTCATTTGTAATCTGCTATCTGAGCACCATATTTGTAATTTGCTTTGGGAGACATAGCTCTATAACCAAATTTTCTTTCTTTTTCTTTCTTTTTTTTTTTTTTTTTTGAGACGGAGTCTTGCTGTTTCACCCAGGCTGGAGTGAAGTGACGTGGTGCGATCTGGGCTCACTGCAACCTCTGCCCTTGCCCCCGTCCTGTTGCCTGCAGGGCTTTCTTAACTGTTGGGCATCTCATAGTCCATCTCCTTGCCACTGGACCTGAGCTCTGCCTTTTTCTGTTCTTTACTTTTTGTAGGCTTTTGCACACACTTTCTGTAATGACTCCTCCCCTTCCCCTGTCAGCCTTCCTGCAATTTGGCATAATTATGACCCTTTTCAAAAATCATCTTTTTGAACCGTGTCAGAACAACTTCTGGCAGAAATGGAGCAAACAAACCATTGCATAGTGCAGATCGTCCTTGATACCTGTTCCTTCCTCCTTTTTCACATCTAGATTGTCATCAGGTCTTCTTGTGTTTGAAATCTTTCCATGTGTTTCTTTACTGACAGCATCCTTGTCCGAGCTCATCAAGTGAACTGCTGCAGAGGTAGCAGGTTTTTCTGTGTCTACTGTCTTTTCTTATTTAAGAAGTTGATTCCTTTTGTATGTTTTTTTTAATGTTTAAAACATGTTTTTATATATTTTATAGTATGTAAATTATATCAATAAATATATGTATTTGATGTGTATGTATGTATTTTTAAATATTTAAAATTAAGATTTAATCTCATCTATATTGAGATGTAAATCGTATACCGTAAAATTCAAAATGTAGAGTTGTTTTTAGTATATTCGCAGTTACGCTTTGTCAACTCAAGCCAATTTTAGAACACTTATCAGATCAAAAATAAACCCTGTAGTCTTTAGCAGTTACTCCCTACTTCCCTGCTTATCCCTCCCCCCTTAAAAAACCCACATTTATCTACTTTTTGTCTCAATAGATTTGTCTATTCCAGGCATTTATATAAAAGAATAGTATAATAAGTGGTGTTTTTGTGCCTTCCTTCACATAGCATTATATTTTCAAGGCTGATCCTTGTTGTAGCTTGTACCAGTATCTCTCTCTTTTTAATGGCCAAGTAATAGGTATGGATATATTACATTTTGTTAGTCTATTCGTTATTGATATACATTTGGATTATTTCCATTTTTTGGATAATATGAACCATGCTTCGGATTATTTCCAAGAAACTATTGCCTAACCCAAGTTTATAAAGATTTACACTTACGTGTTTTCTTCTATGAGTTTTATGTTTTTTGCTGTTACGTTCATTTGTGACTATAATCCAATTTTGAGTTAATTTTTATATATGGTGGGTAGTAAGAGGTCTAACTTCATTCTTTTACTTGTGGATATCTAGTTGTCCTGGCAACATTTTTGGGAAAGACGAGTCTTTCAATATTGAGTTGGCTTGGTACCCTTGTTGAAAATTAATTGACCATAAATGTAAGGGATTACTTCTGGATATTCAAGTCTATTTCATTGATCTGTGTATCTATCCTTATGCTAGTACCAAACTGATTTCTGTAGCTTTGTAGTAAAATTTGAAATTGGATAGCATGAGTTCTCCAATCTTGTTCTTTTAAAGGAGTGTTGGCTATTACGGGACTCTTGCATTACCATGTGAATTTTAGGATCAGCTTGTGAATTTCTGCCAAAAAAAAACTACTGTGGGATTTTGATAGGGATCACATTGAATAGGTAGATTAATATGGGGAGTATTGTCATCTTAACTTAAGTCTTCCAATCTATGATCATGAAGTTTTTTTCCATTCAACAGTGTTTTGTAGTTTTCAGTGTACAGTGTACAGGTTTTACACTGTTTTAGTTAAATTTATCCCAAAGTATTTTATTGAGTTGTAAATACAATTTTTCTTAATTTCATTTTCAGATTTCTCATTGTATAGAAATTACAAAATAAATTGATTTTTGCATATTGGCTTGTATCATACAACTTTGCTGAACTTGTTAATTTGTCCCTAATAGTTTTTTTTAGCGAATTTCTTAATATTTCCTATGTACAAGACTGTGTCTTTTGCAAATAAATAATTTTGTATTCAGTTGGCTCTACTGTTCAGTTAGATCTAGTTGATTGATGGTGGTGTTCAATTCAACTATACTCCTACTGATTTTCTGCCTATTGGATATGTCAATTTCTAATAGAAGTATGTTAAACTATGCAACTATAATAGTAGGTTTGTCTGTTTGTCCTTGCAGTACTATCAGTTTTTACCTCGCATAGTTTGATGTTCTATTGTTTGGTGCATACATATTTAGGATTATTATGTCTTGCTGGAGAAATGACCCCCTTTTTATTTTGTAAGGCTTTTGTTTATTTTAATAGCTTTTGGGGTACAAGTGGCTTTTGGTTACAAGTGGATGAATTGTATAGTGGTTAAGCCTGAGATTTTAGTGTACCTGTCACTGGAGTAGTGTACATCATACCCAGTATGTAGTTTTGTATCCCTCAACCTTATTGCCCTACCCCTTTATGAGTCTCCAATGTCTGTTACACCACTGTTTGCCTTAGTGTACCCACAGCTAGCTTAGCTTTCACTTCCTTTTTTTTTTGAGACGGAGTCTTGCTCAGTCGCCCATGCTGGGATGCACTAGTATGATCTTGGCTCACTGCAACCTCTGTCCCCCAGGTTTTTTTTTTTTTTTTTTTTGAGACGGAGTTTCGCTCTTGTTACCCAGGCTGGAGTGCAATCTCAGCTTACCGCAACCTCCGCCTCCTGGGTTCAGGCAATTCTCCTGCCTCAGCCTCCTGAGTAGCTGGGATTACAGGCACGTGCCACCATGCCCAGCTAATTTTTTGTATTTTCAGTAGAGATGGGGTTTCACCATGTTGACCAGGATGGTCTCGATCTCTTGACCTCGTGATCCACCTGCCTCGGCCTCCCAAAGTGCTGGGATTACAGGTGTGAGCCACTGCGCCCGGCTGTCCCCCAGGTTTAAATGATTCTCCTGCCTCAGCCTCCCAAGTATCTGGGATTACAGGTGACCACCACTATGCCCGGCTAATATTTGTATATTTAGTAGAGACGGGGTTTCACCATGTTAGGCTGGTCTCAAACTCATGATCTCAGGTGATCTGCTCACCTTGGCCTCCCAAAGTGCTGGGATTATAGGCGTGAGCCACGAGGCTCGGCCTTAGCTCCTACTTCTGATTGAGAACTTACAGTGTTTGGTTTTCCTTTCCTGGATTACTTCACTTAGAGTAATGGTCTCTAGCTCCATTGAGACCTTGAGTGGTGGTTCATTGAGAACTTTAGTTAAGTTGACTTTAGTCATTTAACTCAACTTTAGTTCAGAAAATAGGTGAAACCAGCTGGGCATGGGAGTACCTGCCTATAGTCCCAGCTACTCAGTAGGCTGAGACGGGAGGATTGCTTGAGCCCAGGACTTTGACGCTGCAGGGAGCTATGATGGAGCCACTGCACTCTAGCCTTGGTGATACAAGACCCTGTCTCTTTAAAAAAAAAAAAAAAAAAAAAGTGTGTGAACCTGTTTTTTGTAACAAACAGAACATATAATCCATTTATGTAAAATAGCAACAACAAGCCAAATGGTAATATACAACTCTATTTCTGTATGTAAATACGGTAAACATTTTCTGGAAGGTTACATGTAACTGTGATACCTGTGGCTTCCTCTGGGGAATGAGTTGGGTCTAGGGAAGAAGGACTTTCACTTTGGGTGTATTTTTTCAATTTTGTATAAGCAAAATGTATTCCTTTTTTTAAGTCTCAGCAAAGTTGTTAAATTCATCTTTCAGTTGTGTGAGCCTTATAGAGCAGGGTTAATGCTGTAATGTGACCTTATTACAGATTCACTGAATATTTTTGTGCGTTTTGTGAAAAGTTAGGGAAAGTTTAAAACAGGAACTTAAGATTGGCATGTAAATGCCTAAGTTTTTCTGAGTTTGATAAACTTGTCTAGGTTATGTGAGGAAGTTGCATGATAATTGAATTCTTGAGAAGTGATTGAATTGTGAATTAAAGTGAGACAATTATAAAACAACAATTTTAGACTCTCCTGAATAAAGCTAAGGTTTTATTCCATTTTGGAGTACCAGAAGGCTACAGATATATTTGATGGTACAGTTGTTACAGACTAGATGATTTATTTCTGATTGCAGAGCTAATTTCTAGCTTCTTGAAGTAGAAGTACTCAAAACATTGAGTCTCAGATATGGGACCAAAACTGCTGGAATTGACTGTGATAGAAACATTTTGATGGCATTTTACACTTCAGTAATGATGTCAGCAATATCATATCTAGCAGAAATTATGGTAAAACTTTAGTACTTATTGCATGAGAAGTGTTCATCCTAGAAGGGAGGATGATTGGGTGCTCATGTTCATTTGATTCTAATACAGTCCCATGGAGCGTGGAACTGTTAGTATCTTAATAGAGTAAGAAACTGAGGTTCAGAGAGGTTAAGTAACTTGCCGAATAACTAGTAAGTGGCAAACTGGGATTCCATCCCCAGCAGCCACACCTGAGCCTGCATTCTTAGCCCTTGTAGGTGGTATCAACTTGGATGTCTGAAAGGCATTTCGGATTTGCTTTAATTCAGAACAGAACTCATGAGCTTTACTCCCCTCCACCCTCACCTTGGTATTTTTTATGATTTTGTCTCATTAAATGTCGTCTTCTTTCATCCAATTGCTGAAGTCAGAAACGAGGTAAATAATCCTTAACACTTTCTTCCAGTTAAATCAGTCCTCAGTCTAGGTATCATTAACTCATTTAAAATTTTGAATAGTTCTTGAATCCTTTCACTTTCCTTTACTTCTACGGCTGCCAATCTCAGCCAAACCTGTTATCCGTTGATTGGACTCGAATTGTGTCTTGAAACTCCCACCCGTATCTCCTTCTGGTATGATCTCCAAGTATAGAATCTATTTCCCCTCAGTTTTATATGTGCATGTGTGTATGTTTATACCTGTGTAAACTCCTTCAATGGTTACTCCTTGTTCTTAGGATAAAGGCCAGACTTTTTAGCAGGATATTTCTGGCCGGTATGTGCTTACCTCTCTGCTTTCATTGGTAACACTCTTCTCCCCCTAGTAGGTGACAGGACGTTCAGTTGGGACCATGACTAGTTTATGCTTTTCCTGTGTTTCCTCTGCCTGGCAGTCAGCGCACCTCTTTCACTCTCACTTTAACTCTTACTCATCCTTCCACCCTCCACTGTCTTGGGTCAGCTTTCCCTGACCATCTCCTTTTGCCCTAGATCGTTGTTAGTTTCGGTTTCAAGTTACTATAGCACCACTTATAGCTTGTAAAGCATTTTGAATTGATTATTAATGATTTTTATGATTATTAATGTTTGTATTTCCCTTCTGGACTCTAGTTCCTTGGCTGCTGATCACCATCATACTACTCAGTATGTTTGAATGAATGGACACATTTAGTCTTAGCTGCTTGATTTTCTTCCTGAGGAAACTGAAGATTGAACAATATAACATAGTTTTGTTCAAGTATAGAGTTAGATTGCCACTTAATAGCTGAAGGAAGTTACTTCACCTCTCCAAGTCTCCATTTCTTTATCTGTTAACTAAGGATAAAAATAGTGCCAACTTCTTGGGTTGTGGTGGGGACTATTTGAGTTAATTCACTTAAAGCACCTAGGGTAGTGCCTAAGGCCTACTGGTGGTAGCTGTTGTCAGTAGTATTGGGATCTACCCAAGGTTGTTCCCAAGGTTTAATACAGAGCTTATCAGATACCAGTCCTTTATGCTTTTCTCATTCCAAATGAGAGCATTTGGAATTCTTGCAAACTGATTCTTTTGTGAGCAGAAGTTCATCTTTATACTTAAAAAATGGGTCTGCACAGTTTCTTGCACAGTGAAGGCATGTTATATTTTGTTGTCTTCAGTTTAACTCAGTTGCAAATAAGAACCATACCCACCTCTGACTCAGTGGAAGGTATTTCTGATACACAGTGAAAAATTTGTTTACTTCAGGAACAAGAAAGTTAGTAGAGGTTGTACAAAATTCTGCATATCAAATTAAGGTCTTTGAAGTTAGCTATTTTGAAATAAATAATGAAAGGATTTTAAGTAACAGGTGCATCTTTGCATAGTATTGCTTTTAGAAAATTGGTGACTGAAAGGAATGGGAGGCTGGGTTTAGATGATGGTCTTTGATTAAAAAATGGTGCAGTTTGGAGTGATAGCTGGGGTTGTGGGACACATAGTGAACTTTGTTTTTTATAGATTGAGTTGAAAGTACTTGTTGGACGTCTAAATGGAAATGCCCTCAGGTTAAGTATATCAGAGAGAAATCAGGACAGAAGCCTGGGATAGAATTACCGAAAACTATGTAGTATGACCAAAAAAAAAAAAAATTGAGATTTTTTTTTTTTTGGAGATGGAGTTTCATTCTTGTTGCCCAGGCTGGAGTGCAATGGCGTGATCTAGGCTCACTGCAACCTCTGCCTCCCAGGTTCAAGTGATTCTCCTGCCTCAGCCTCCTAAGTAGCTGGGATTACAGGCATGCACCACCATGCTCAGCTAATTTTGTATTTTTAGGAGAGACGGTGCTTTCTCCATGTTGGTCAGGCTGGTCTTGAGCTCCCAATCTCAGGTGATCCACCTGCCTCGGCCTCTCAAAGTGCTGGGATTACAGGTATGAGCTACTGCGTCTGACCTAAAAAATCGAGATATTAACAACTGGCATCCTAGCAGAAAGCAAATGATGTAATACCTGAATGTGACAAGGTTTATTAGCTGTTACTTCTGTATCTGCTTGAAGATGATGAAACCACATTTTAAATAGTATCCTTTAACTTAAAATTTTCATTAATAGATGTGGTCTTCCCTCTAGTTTGAGTTAGTGATGTAAAATTTACCAAGACATTGCAAATTACCTTGGCGCTTAAGAAGAGTTAAATTGAAGGGAACATGGTGTCATGAATTTCTTTGATTTGTTAGGTTCAAAGTTAGCTAGATGTGATGTAGAGTCTGTGTTCTTTAAATGCCTCACTCACTCAAGTGCTTGTTGTTTTTTTCTCCTTTAACTAGGAATTGTGGTGCTTGGAATAAACAGAGCTTATGGCAAAAATTCACTCAGTAAAAATCTTATAAAAATGGTGAGTGTAAAGATTAAACTGTTTACTTCTAATATTAAGATACCTTATTGTCATCAATATAAAAACATTTTTTTGGTCTCTTTTTCCTCTTATGCTTCGTCTTTCTGTTTAGCTATCAAAAGCTGTGGATGCTTTGAAATCTGATAAGAAAGTACGGACCATAATAATCAGGAGTGAAGTCCCAGGGATATTCTGTGCTGGTATGTAAATATGTTGTGTTATAAAATTAAACTGTTGTCTTATTTTTCCTCAGTAATAGTTTGTTTTTCAGTAGAATGTTCTATGGTTTGAACACCATTACTCCTCTTTGTGTTTTACTGATTTACAAGAAAAAAACATGCTTAGTCTGTCAGCATTAGAAAGAAGCTTTTGCAACATGTAGATTGTTTCAGAAGTTGAAAAAAAAATCTTTGAGCCATTAAAATACATGTTTGTAGTACGTGAAGTACAATATTTGTTGGTTGTGTCTTAATTGTGGCCAATATTCTTTAGTTTCAGTCATTTTCTTTGAGATGGAGTCTTGCCCGGTCGCCCAGGCTGGAGTGCAGTGGCATGATCTCAGCTCACTGCAGCCTCTGCCTTCTGGGTTCAAGCGATTATCCTGCCTCAGCCTCCTGAGTAGTTGGGATTACACGTGTCCACCACCTTGACCTGCTAATTTTTTGTATTTTGAATAGAGACAGGGTTTCACCGTGTTGGCCAGGCTGGTCTCGAACTCCTGATCTCAAGTGATCCACCCTCCTTGGCCTCCCAAAATGCTGGGATTACAGGGGTGAGCCACTGAGCCTGGCTCCTCGTTTCATTCTTAAGGGTTCTCAGTTTTTTTAAGCTTCAATCTCTGTGACTTCTGCCTTAAAATATTGCAGAGTAGTGTGATATTTAGAAATATGCAATATAAATATTTTTGCTTTTGATAAGGTTTTATTGCCTTCTTAATACATTTCTTAAAATGCAGGATATCTAAAAAAATAGTTTTAACTCCAGTTGAGTAATCAAAGAGTGTAGATTTATTATCCTCACTGCCAGGGTTATGATGTTGTGCAGTTTAGATTTCCATTTTTACATTTGTCAAATGCTAGTAATACTGTCTGCTTAGTAGGAGTGCTTATAAGCGTTTTACATATATTTTGAGTTCTTTTTTTTAAAACAATATGTAAGACTTATACCAAGATAATTAGGATTCTTATGTCTAGTTTTAGGGACCACTTGAATATGATCTGGAGATAAAAGAGTCTAACACTATGACTAATGGTTGAGAAGTTCTCTAGAGGCCGTTGGATGGCTTATTGGGAAGATGTAGAGTAGCTTTAGGGTTTTTAAAGAAGGCCCAATTATATGAATCTTTGAGGAGTGATAACGATGTTGTGAAGACAGATTAACATTTTAAAAATAGATGTTAGTGGTCATCCTGGCATTGTTTTTCTGTTGGCAGTAGGTTTTATAATTATCACACTGTAGTTACTGGTGAGATTCTTTTTATTTTACCTGTTCACTTGGAGCCCATTTGTTTAGGATTTCTGTGTTAGGAATATGCTTTGAAAAAGGCTTTAATGCTTTGGCACAGTTTGTGGCTGTCTGTTACAGATTGCCTTTTTGAGGACATGCCCTCAAATAATATGGCACATGCTGTTTATCAGAATAACATGTTAGCCTTGAGTACTTTTTTTTTTTTTTTGAGATGGAATTTTGCTCTTGTTGTCCAGGCTGGCGTGCAATGGCACTATCTGGGCTCACTGCAACCTCTGCCTCCTGGGTTCAAGCAATTCTCCTGACTCAGCCTCCTGAGTAGCTAGGATGACAGGCATACACTACCACCCCTGGCTAATTTTGTATTTTTAGTAGGGATAGGGTTTCTCCATGTTGATCAGGCTGGCCTCGAACTCCCAACCTCAGGTGATCCGCCTGCCTTGGCCTTCCAAAGTGCTGGGATTACAGGATGAGCCGCTGTGCTCAGCTGCCTTGAGTACTTTTCAACAAGTTAATTTAATCTATTTACTTTGCTTTATGTGCTTTTAAACTTTTGTACAATCAGGATAATCTTTTAACTCATAAGATTTGTAACTGTATTTTGTCAACAGAAATCTGTGTTTTAATTATAGAAAAATTGGGGCGTGTCATCTCTTTTAGTAATTCAGTATATATGATGGAACTATTATTTCAGATTTCTCTGAAAGATTTTTCTTTCTTTCTTTTTTTTTTTTGAGGTGGAGTTTCACTCTTGTTGCCAAGGATGGAGTGCAATGCCGTGATTTTGGCTTACTGCAACCTCCACCTCCCAGGTTCAAGCAATTCTCCTGCCTCAGCCTGCTGAGTAACCGGGATTATGGGCGCAAGCCACCACGACAGGCTAATTTTTTGTATTTTAATAGAGATGGGATTTCACCATGTTGGCCAGGCTGGTCTTGAACTCCTGACCTCAGGTGATCCTCCCACCTTGGCCTCCCAAAGTTCTGGGATTATGGGCATGAGACACAGCACCCAGCCCCTTTCTTACATATATTTACATTTATAGGCTGACCAGTAGGTCCTTCTTTTAATATGTACATATGAAATAAAATTCTAGGTAAATAAAATCTCTTTACATTGTTTTAAAGAATATTTAAACTTAAAGCCTATTTTAGTATAAACATCTTAATCAGGCCACATTTAAGAAACATCAAAAACACAGTGTACCATTTGTTGATTATTCTTTTAGCCCCTTCTTCATCCCTTCAAAGTCATCATTTTCCCTTTTCTTACTCTGCCCCCACAAAGGTTTCTCTGTATTTATTAATACCTGTATCCCAGTGATACCTTGTTCATTTCTAAACACTTAAAGCTTAGCAGATGGTCTTGCATCAAATTTCTCGAGCATAGGAACATCTCTCATTCTTTGAGAATCATCTTTTACATTCTCAGATCACAGCACACAGTAGGGACTCAGCATGTATGTGCTGGAATTAATCAGCCTTTAAACTGTGCTTTAATTCACTGATTTTTTTTCAGGAATGATTAGGATATAATAAGCAGCTTCTCTGAATTGTCTCATACCACTCTCCTATTTACTGACAGTAAGTTTGACAAGATTTTTTTTCTAAAATGCTAGCAAAACAGATAAACATTATTAAAGAGATTCCTAAGGCCACGCATTGTGGCTCACGCCTGTAATCCTAGCACTTTGGGAGGCCAAGGCGGGTGGATCACCCAAGGTCAGGAGTTCGAGACCAGTCTGGCCAACATGGTGAAACCTTGTCTGTACTAAAAATACAAAAAATTAGCCTGCGTGGTGGTGGGTGCCTGTAATCCCAGCTACCTACGAGGCTGAGGTAGCAGAATTGTTTGAACCAAGAAGGTGAGGTGGTAGTGAGCTGAGATCATGCCACTGCACTCCAGCCTAGATGACTGAGTGAAAATCCATCTCAGAAAAAAAAGAAAAAGATTAGTGGGGCATGCCTGTAATCCCAGCATCCTGAAGCACAAGAATTACTTGAGCCCAGGAGGCGGAGCTTGCAGTGAGCTGAGATCATGCCACGGTGCTCCAGCCTGGTCGACAGAGCCAGATCCTGTCAAAAAAAGAGATTCTTACAGGTGCCTTGCAGGTGATTTCTGACTTCTCATTTAAATCTACCTATTATTTAGGATTGTTAAGTACTTACATTTTAAGTTTTTTAATCAAATTTTAGTTTTAAAAAGTAGGATGGTAGGTCAAAATGTGTGAAAATGTATATAAAGAGAACTCTCTCTAACCCTACTTCCTCTGCTTTATTCATCCCCTAATAAAAATAACCATTATTATGTTTATCCGTCTAGTATTTTATTATATATGTGTACACATTCACACATACACACAAATAGAGTCATGTGCTGCATAATAACATTTTGGTTAACAATGGCCTGTATTATACAATGCTGGTCCCATGAGATTATTTGTTTTATATTTTTGTGATGGAGTCTCACTCTGTCACCCAGGCAGGAGTGTAATGGTGTGATCTCGTCTCACTGTAACCTCTGCCTCCAGGATTCAAATGATTCTCATGCCTCGGCCTCCTGAGTAGCTGAGATACAGGTGTGTGTCACCATGCCTGGCTAAATTTTGTAATTTTAGTGGAGTTGGGGTTTTACCGTGTTGCCTAGGCTGTCTTGAATTCCTGACCTCAGGTGACCCACCTGCCTCAGCCTCTCAAAGTGCTGGGATTACAGGCGTGAGCCACTGTGCCTGACCTCATAAAATTATAATACTATATTTTTACTGTACCTTTTCTGTTTAGGTACATATAAATACTTAGCATTGTGTTACAGTTATCTGCAGCATTCGGTACAGTCACATGCTGTACAGGTTTGTAGCCTAAGAGCAGTAGGTTATACCACATATCGTATTTATGTGGGGGATGGTTTCAGGATGAAACTGTTCCACCTCAGATCATCAGGCAGTTAGATTCTCATAAGGGGAGTACAACCTAGATCCCTTGCATGCATAGTTCACAGTAGGCTTTGTGCTCCTATGAGAATCTAATGTGGCCACTGATCTGACAGGAGGCGGAGCTCAGGCAGTAATGCTCCCTTGCCTGTGCTCACCTCCTGCTGTGCTGCCTTGTTGCTAGCAGGCCACAGACCAGTACTGTTCCTCAGCTTGGGGACTGGGGACCCCTGGCCTATACCATCTAGGTTTGTGTAAGTATACTCTATGATATTTATACAAGGATGAAATATCCTAAGGACTCATTTCTTAGAATGTACTCTTTAAGTGACACATTATTGTATACAGGTGCACTCGTAGAATGTTAAGTAGATATTTAAAGTGATGCATATAAAGACATATAAATATTATACATATAAAGTGATATACACGAAGAGTGGAAAATACCTGTTATAAGCCTAGAGAGAGTTGTATATAAAATGTTATGGCCATTATTACTGTAGCTGTGTAAACTATGTCTACCAATAAGATCACAGCTGTAGTTCCAGCACTTTGGGAGGCTGAGGCAGGCAGTCAGCTTGAGCCTAGGAGTTCAATACCAGCCTGGGCAACATGGCAAAACCCTGTCTAAGCCAGGCATGGTGGCACGTGCCTGTATTCCTAGCTACTCAGGGGGCTTAGGTGGGACAATCGCTTGAACTTGCAGGATCAAGGCTGCAAGTCATGATTATGGCACTGCACTTTAGCCTGGGTGACGGAGTGAGACCCAGTTTCAAAAAAAAAGATACTAAGGGTGATATTTTT